TTAACATGTTAATTATGAAAAAGTGGGATTGAAAAGAGCGACAGAAAAAATGCGATAAGTTTTTTTTTTCTTTAAAAAAATGATACATGTTGAAAATACAGTTTTTTTACCATAAAAATGAAATAATTAATAACTGAAACATTTCAAACTGCAAATTTTTATATCAATTTTAGATGGCATTTGATAGTATTGAATTAAACTTTAGGCTATATTTGATTTGAAGGAAAGGTAGAGAAAGGAAAGAAAAAATGAAAAATCTTATATAAATTTTATAAAGGTTTATCTTCCTTTCCCTACTTTTTCCTTCACCAAACAAAGCAACATGCTAAAAGGTCAAATTCAAAATAAACGTTCATACGGAGAAGATATACATATGAAGAGGCCCTGGGCCATACCGTGGATAAGGAAGGATGAGATGTGCATCTCCACCTACCGCATAAATCTATTATTCATATTGGAATGGTCATATTCAAAATAAAACAAAAACTAAAAAGAATGGTCCCTTCACTGGGTTGCTCTAATCCTATAGCTTACTCATTGTTTTCAAGTTTTTCATTCTTTTTTTTTTTTTTTTTTTGTGTGTGCGCGTGTACTCTCGACCATTTTTCAACTCGGCCCATTGGCCGTATGGCCCATGCTACTACTTTCACAGAGGCCCAGATTTGTAAATTATGTTGGTTTTTTTATATCTAGACCAAAATGCCTTCATCCACAACTTATTTTATGATTTTTTTTTTATTTTTAATTAATTAATTTAAAATTATTATCTAAAACTCACTTTCACTTTTTTTTTCCAATTTTATTATATTTATCCATACTTTTCAAAACCTCCTGTTCCGAAGCACCGCTGGTTAACATTAGGAGATGAATGGATTTTGTAAGTTTAGCATACTTCCCGTCCCTTTAAGTTTGCGCTGCATGAAAATTGTGAGATGATGAAGTTTGTTTATGATACCCTCCATATGAGAGTTGGGAGTTATCACTTCATCCAAATGACAATGGGCTCCCGACTTTTGGGTTGGAGGATAGAAGGATACCTGTTTCTCTTTTAAACTACTTAATAGGGAAACAGGGTTAATTTGATCATTGAAAATATTTAATTACTTAGTAAAATAAAAAAAAAGGATTAAATGGACAATTTTTAATGATCACAGCTATAATTATGGTTTTCAAAATTGAACCGGACTGGATGGTTGGACCGGAAAAACCGGGAACCAGTCACCTGACCAGTTTCGTTTTTCCTCAAAATCATTGATTTTAGTCAATAAACCGCTGAACCGGCCGATTAACCATTCAAATCGATAACCAAACCCCCAACCGGTTGAGTCATGGGTTGGTTTTAAAAACCATGACCATAACAGTGGCGTAATGGAAAATAAGTTTTAAATAACAAAAAGGGTCATTTAGACACTCCAATATTCTATCGTATTAACTAAAACCCTCCCTATAGTTTCCATTATAGTTTACACTCGGTTTACTTTTTTTTGGCTGCTAATAACCGTTTGTTTTTTTCATTTAGAAAAAGAAATGCGACTCTTAATAAAAGCATTTCCTACTCTCTCTCTCACACCCACTCTACCATCAGCACATTCCAACACCCTACCAACGGGACATCACACATCTCATACATGGCAGGTCCTAGTCTCATGGTGAGATGTGTGATGTCAAATTATGAAAGAATCTCTGAATTTTCCTCGTCCCAAGTTAACATCTAAAAATACATCATATTTGGAATAGATTAGAAATTATATTATGGGAATTTAGGGGTATTTTAAATATTAGATTATGGGAATTTAGGGGTATTACTCTTCTTTAAAGCTAAAAAAGTGTTTCCAAACACAAAAGTTGTAGATGCATGTGTAGATTGAGGAAGAAGATGTTGAGCTCTAATCATACATAGGAATGGCAATGGGGTGGGGCATCCACTCTCCATCAAAGATGAGGAATTCCTGAATTTTTCCCACCCTGACACAGCCACCTAAAAATACATCTAATTTAAAAGTATTTTAGAAATATAATTATTGGAATTTAGGGTATTTTAAGAATTGAATTATGGTAATTTGGGGTATTATAAAAATGGAATTATCATATGTTTTAAAAATTTGGGGGGACTTAGAAGTATTTCAAAAATTAATATTAAACCTATGAATATTTTACAAGTTTATCATCAGGGAATTATATGTAAATCCTATTCCCAGTTTCCACCCCATCCTCAAGTTGGGGCAAAAATATTTTCCCTATCTCCGCCTTATCCTTGTTTAAGGTTAGGGAAAACCCAGCCCATTTGGGGCAGGGTGAGGCCTCGATTTTACAGGAAAAATTGCAACCCGTAATCATACAAATGTTCAAAACTTGGGCTTGACAAGAAATGTGTAGCATGCCCAATTAGTAACATTGTTCTTTATGATTTTCACATAACCACAAAAATCATCTTAGTTTTTTTAGACAAGCATCATCTCAACAACCTCTCCCCTTTTCAATTCCCCCTATTCAGTGTTACTCCCAGCGTTTATTGTCTCACTCCCTCAAAACTTTATCTTCGGTGCAAGTCGGGTGGGTTGGGTCAGGGTTATGGTCAACCCAGGCCTCAGTTTTGACCCTAAAATTTGGGCTTAAGGCCCAAGCCCAATCTTCCCAACCCGAGCTAGTCCACATTGTAATTTGATTCACTCGGGCGGCTCAGTTTGGTCAAAGAAGCTTGATTTATTGTACCTAAGCATTGCCTAAGGACCGAAAATCCAAGCCCAATCCTAGGGGATCCGATTGGATCTGATAGGCAAGGATTTGAATTCAAATCCGATCGAGAAGTCGGATCTTTAGATCTGATTCAACCTGATTTGTTTTTTTAATTAATGAAGTATTAAAAGAAAATAAAATATACCAATTTAAATAAAGAAAAACAAAGAAATATGAGTATTTTTTAATTATTTTTATCATCATATATACATGTTTTTTATAAAAAATAAAGAATATAACAAATTTATAAAAATACAATATAAATAAATAAATAGCATATATATATTATATATATATTTATACAAATAAATATATAACATATATCACAAAATGGATCTTATCGGACCGGATAGGGGTGATCCGATTCCTGACTGGATCCTATCATCCGACACGAAAATTCGAACAGAGGCGATCCAAATTCAACCAAATGGGACCAGACCTCGAATCCGATCCAGTTGTACCCTATCCCAGCCCATATAAAATTTCAGGTTGGGGCCTGCGCAAGTTAAACCCCTATTAACATCTACTTGACATTTCTCACCTTGTCCCCACCATTCCCTCTTCTCCAACATCCAAATAGCATCCATCCTAAGCGAAATCTCGCTCAACATCTAAGTAGCAGTCCTCTCATGCACACTCTCCTCCGACCCCTTATTCTCCCCTTCTCTATTTTTCGAAACCAAACTAGAGCCCACTGTATCCTTCCCCTTTTTGTTTCTTTGTTTTGTTGTACTTTCAATGCTAAGCATTTTTTGCCCCTTGCTCAAAGACTAAAACCATGTTAGTTAAACCAAACTTGTTTCAGTTTTGTTTGAACTACTGTATCATGTGGGTAGGAGATCCGAATTAGCATCTACCACCCCAAGCCCCCAACCACTTTATATTACTATGCGTTATGAAATGCGTGCATATTATTTTTCTTTTCTTTTCCTAATCCTTGAAGGGATATTCCTCTCTGATTAAGGCTTTTGAGGGACGACTAATCCACTGTCACCCTCATTTAAATAGGAGCAAAATAGACATTTACTTCTTATGGTAATAGAAGCCATGGCTAAAATTGTCAAATTGCATCTTCATCAAAGTGAAAGAACAATAAATAAACCGATTCAAAGTGCAAACCATAAGAGGGTGCCTTAGTAATATGCGAAGTATACGAGTGTTTTAGTTAGGAAAAATTCTTGTACTTTTGGCTCGAGTGATAATTTGGTCCCCCAATTTTAAAATACGATAATTCAGTACCTAAACTTTTAAAATGTGACAATCCAGTACCTGAACTTTCAAAATGTGACAATTCGGTACCTGCCGTTAAATGATATTTGAAGAGTAAAAAATGCCCTAAGAATGGCATCTAATTTTTTTATCAACTATCAAAACATTGACAATAAAATAAATAGTCCCAAATTATAGATTCTTTTAAACAATCACCAACTTTTTTTTTTGAATAGAAGATGCTACGATTTGGGACTCTTCAGATTTTTGTCAACGTTTGGATGGTTGATAAAGAGAATTAGATGACATTCAAAGGGCATTCTTGATTTTTCAAATATCACTTAACGGCTGATTAACGGACTAGTTAACGACAAATACTAGATTGTCACATTTTAAAAATTCGGATTCTGGATTGTCACATTTTGAAAGTTTGGATACTAGATTGTTGTATTTTAAATTTCGAGGACCAAATTATCACTCGAACCAAATTACAGGGTACTTCAAATGTTTGACAATAAAGCACATGGATTGTCACGGTAAAATATACAAACGTCCCTTGAAATGTTTGACAATCATAATAATTTCCCTTGAGGTTTCACTTTTAACAAAAACCTCGCTTATAATTTCAAAAAGTCTACAATTACGACCTTTCTATCTTTATCCTAAATGGAGACTTCAAAGTTATAAAATTGCCCTTACAGTTCACTAAAGACATCTTTCAATATAATTCAAAAATCAAAATATCAGATTTTCCCATTTAAATTTCACTAAACCTACTGTTTTAATTAAAAATACTTTTTCCTGGGTTGTTTTAGTTAATTTTCATCTGAATTAGATATAAGGGTAATAAATACTTTTTGGAAAATTAATGCATTAGGTTTTTTTAGAGGACAATAATAAAAGAGATATAACTGCAGGTTTTTATATGGGAGGTTTATCGTTTCTGCGAAAGTGAAAAGGGAGGTTTTTATATCTTACCCTGAAAAAAAGTGAAGTAAAATTTTATATCATTACTTTAATTTATTTAATTTTCTAATTTCTATTACGAAGGAAAACCATAGGATGCGCACACTGTCGCTCCCCCATTCCCTACTCTCATTCATGGCCGCCCCGCTACTCCTAAGAGGTATCCCCCTCCTCTATACCCGATTCCAACAACGCAGTTCCGCCTCTGGTTTCTTTGCCGCTGTGGGCAGACCGTCTTATTGTGCGGCGGCCGAGCCGTGTCAGCCACACAGTAATGAGATCCCCGGGATAGAGCGCACAGCTGATTGGAGTGCCAAAGAACCGCTACGGCACTCTCGGTTGGACGACCCCGGATACAGGCGGTGGAAAGATAGAGAGGCGGAGATTCTTCGAGACATCGAGCCCATCACTTTTCTTACCAAGGAGATTCTCCATTCTAACAAGTAAATTTCCCGGAAAGCTAAATTTTTTATTCTCCTCATCCCCCTCCTATTTTTTGACGCTTATTTTGTTTCTTCAATTTTATTTAAATGTCAGTGAGAACCGATAATTCAGAGCAAACAGGAGGTCTCACAGACGCGTAATTTGAGTCACTGACCACTCACCGATTCGTTTGGGATGGAACTGAACAGAAATACATGATGAATAGTATATGACACAATCTCCTCTAATCGATGGTAGAAGAGGAAAGAAAAGAAAAGAAAAGCCACTTTGGAATTTTCTCACTGACCCATTTTCTTAGGAAAAGAAAGGATAGACTTTAGAAAATTTTAACCACTCACAGGAAAAAAAAAAACCTTCACGGAAGTAGGAAATAACTGGGAATTCAAAGAAAATGATACCGTTCTACTCTGATAGGTAGAGTGGGTCCAAGGAGTCAAAGAGAGGAATCGCTCTGTTCTTCTCTGTTCATTTGCTCTAGAAAATAATCAGAACTGAAGGAAGTTTGAGTCTTCATCGTAGCGTAGCAAGAATGAACTTTGACCTCTATTATAGCATAACCAACTGAATGCTTGTTTGTTCTGCAATAAATAACTTCTTTAAATAATGCTAACCTTCTATCTCATTGCTTCTTGGACCACAATGAAATCATGGTAATGGCATTTTCTAAAATGCTTCAAGTATGTCCTTTTTGAAGTAGCAATATTGACGAGTTATAGAATTTTTCAGAGCCATCATATTATTGCACAGTGTCAGGGAGATGAACAACTTTTGGTGCATTCGCAGCAATATTTATGCCATTGTCTAGGTTCTTTTTAAACATTCACGAATCCAATTTATATTTAATCAAGTATACATTCTTTTAAACAATTCCATAGTTAACTTTATTAGTGGATTCAGAAATGGTTGTGCTTTCACGTTTTATTGCCTCAAAGCATGTTGGATACTTATGCTAAATTGGAGTTTCCATGGATTTTAGCTTTCATCTTCATTTCTTCTTTGTTGGAACTTGTATGAGACATCCAGAAGAGGGTAATTGTGTTTGTGACTGATGCTTACTAACCGTGGAGTGGAAAGTTGCCCCTTCTATGAAACTAAGCATGAAAATTACAATGTAATAGCAAGGATAACTTCCAATGCAGATTCTCCTGTTAAATGTTAATTAACTTATTTCGGAATTTCATTGTCCAGAGAATATTTAAAGGTCTTTTGAAGAATACTTTGCTTCTAACATCACATAATTGATAGCATTCGTTTTCCCTAAATATATTGAGAAGACCCTGGCAATGAGCTAAGTTATGCTTCACAATTGTGAAGTAAATGCCTGCCAATTTCTTATATTTAACATCTCAATAAAAGTCATTTGGAACCCAACTCGTCATCTTTCTTTAGATAGTTTGGCATTGAACTGGAGTGCCTCATTGATACATTACAACCTCAACACCTGACTTTAATTAATTGTTGTTATTTCTACATCCAAATTTATAATGACTGGGCATGGTCTTCGATCAGTTGGAAAATGGACCAGTAGCCATGGGATGCATTTGTGGCTTAAGGCTGAAATTTAAAGATGTCTGTAGGGAGTTTTCCTATATATCTTTAACTGTTTTGTCATCAAATTGGAATGTGTAATTGATCCATATACAATGTCAATACCTGGCCTTTGAATTATTCATTTCTCTTTCTACACAAAGCTTTCATAATAATTGGATATAGACATATTTACTGAAATATGATTCACTCATGATTGGATAGGCTTCAATTTAATGTTTCAATGTACCAAGAATAGATATATGCTAATGACTCAAAAGTTTATTCCTAACTTATTGAGGTGGGGAAGGACATTGTAGCTACATGGTTTATTATCCCCAGTGTTTAGAAAACCGGGCCGGGCCAGCCGGTTGGACCGGTTGAGCCAGGACCTGGGACACTAGCTGGTTCGGTCATACCCCAATAATCGTTTTGATTAAAAACCTGGTGAAAACCGGCTGACCGGCCGGTTTACCGGAAAACCAGTGAACCAGTCCCAGTTTCATGAAACCGCCTAGGTCCTTAACTAATAGAAAGTATAAAATGTGCTCATCAAAATTTGAACCTATGACCTCTTATTTTCATATATTGCTTAATTACCATTAGTCTACCTCTTGTGTTAATTAATGACTATTTTATTGTATATATTACTTTATTAAGCATGTGTTTAGAGAAAATGTAAATTAAGAGACTTGAACCCTAATCATTTTCTTTAAAAATTAAGGAACTTACCAATTGCCATCAATGCACCATATGTAAGTATATTAAAAGTTGTAATGTAAAATATATTACATATAATATTTATATGACCTCTAGTATATATATGTATATGCCACGTCATCATGGTTTGACCTTCGGTTCGACCCTGGTTGAACCTCTGACCTGTGAACCTCTCCCCTCTCTAGTCCTATGCCCGGTCCGGTTCTCAGAACATTGATTATTTCAGCTACATTAGCAAGGTCTTTTTTTTTTTTTTTGATAAATGAGTGGCAGTTTTATTAAGAATAGAAAAAGTGTACAAGCACCCTAAGAGGAGGCACGAGATGTTACCTCCCCTTAAAACTGAGAATATAAGCACATTCTAAAGTCTAAATAGAATTATAATTATAAGGTAGCCCAAAACAATCCACCCCTTGATACCCCTTCTTTAGCCAAAGAATTAGCCATTTGTCGATCTACTAACCCATTGAAATCTAATTGACATGTTCGTTATAGTAGTCGAACAAGACTACAGTCAGTCTTGAATCCAAAAAGGTTTCGGATGGAGAAAAGAAGGAGAAAAGGAGGAGAAGCAGAAGTACACAAGGGTTTAGAAAGGAGAGGGACRRATRGATTRAATMTGCYGSCCCACTCTTAATATTTATATGTTATGTTCACTAATTGTAGAAAAAGGCAGAATTGCCCTTAATGCTTACATGGCAAATAAAACACTAATAAGCTGAAATA